GTTTATGACGTTTATGAGATGGTTTGAGTGCTGTCCTGTCAGGTGTTTTACAATGCAGTGAACCTGTCTGTGTTATGAGTGTTCAACTGAAATAAACCTGTGGAGGTGCAGGGACGTGTCCTGATCAGCAGAGGGCGCTGATGATCCACAGCTGAGCAGGATTTTCACACATGATGAAACAAGTGGGGAAAAGCAACATCGACATCTCCTCCTCCACAATCCTTCAATCACATGTGATCTATCAGACACCAGAGATCAATACATTTGATTTAACATCAATGTGAGGAGACAACCAATCAGACAGGAGGGAAGAAGACACACTTAGTTCTTAGTGGTGAAGAGTAACCGAGTACTTTTAGTCCAGTACTGTACGTTACTGTAGTATTTACATTTGAAGATACTTGATACTTTTCCTTGAGTTAATTAGTCGATGTTGACACCTGATCAGCTGATTCAGTTTTAACAGGTGAAGAATCATATTTTTATTTCACTTCATCATGAAGCTCTGAGGGGATTTAGGACCATGGGGAGGGAATCACTGTTGCTATTCACACACACACACACACACACACACACACACACACACACACACACACCTCCTCTGTATTCAGCGCACATGCCTCCTCCTCCGTGTAGAAACCCTCCACAGTCTGTACACTTAGTAGCTGATGCTCTCTCTCTCTCTCTCTCTCTCTCTCTCTCTCTCTCTCTCTCTCTCCCTCCTCCTCCTCCTCTTCTTCTCCATCACTTCTCTGCAGGAGAATCATCCTCCGACACCAGACGGACACCTGCCTGCCCGCCTGCCTCTCTCCTCTCTCGGCTCTCTCTGCCTCGGACCACCGGACCTTCTCTCCGGGACTATTCTGGCTCTCTTACGCGGCTCAGAGCGCACTGAGATTCGGCTGGAGGACGGAGGAGGGGTCGGTGTGTGGAGCCTGGACGTATAGATAGATGGATGGATGGATGCAGGGGCTCGTGTCTCACCTTGGGGAGGTGAGTATGTGTGTGCGTGCGCGCGTGCGCGCATTCGTCCTCTCGTGATCACAGGACATGTCTAGCATCACTGGGATGACGTCAGAGCCGGTGACACTGTCGGTATTCAGTTTCACAGGTTGATGAGATTTTACCACATACATCTATGGGCTGTGTGTGTGTGTGTGTGTGTGTGTGTGTGTGTTGGGGGGTGGGAGGAGGGAGGAGGGGGGGTGGATTTCCATGCAGCTTTGAAGCTCAGCTTTAGCTTTAATGTGCCTGGATTATTTTTTATTTTGACGAATGAGCTGCAGGTTTAAGAGAAAAACAGGAAGAGTGACTGACTGTGATATAAACAAATATCAATAACATCTACTGTAACAGCATCTGCATAAAGTATAAACATCAGAACATTATAATATTGTATATTATTGTAGAGATATTATGAACAGATGGAAAACGTCAGAATGTTCAACACTTTTATTATTATAATTGATTAAATATGAAGTTATTAGTTAAAAAACTGCACAACAGTAAATAAATGTTCAAATGAAATTAGTCAATTAGTCAAAAAGGTTAAGAGTTTGGGAAAAAATCCCAAAAGTTTCATGTTTCCTTTTTGAGTTTTGGAACAAACACTGCGACAACGTTTCAGTTTTACAAAACAATCAAGAACTAATCAAGAAAATAATCAGCAATTTAATCAACAATGAAAATAATAATTAGTTCAAGTCGTTTAGAAAAAAGTTGGACATGAATTTCATCTCAACCAGCTGCAGCATTAAAATAATGTTTCTATATTAATGGACTGATAATTATAATCGAATGATTTAATATTTAATACAAACACAGGAGCCGTTTCACTGCAGTGACTTTAATACTTTAAGTATCTTTCCCTGATCTTACTTCAATACTTTTACTTAGCTCTTTGAATGCAGTACTTCTACTTGTACTGTAGTATTACTGTGTAGTGTTAGTACTTTTACTGCAGTAAAGGATATTTCCTTCACTGTATGAAGTTCAATAACATTATTTTTTTTCGTTTTGATCAATAAATGCTTATGTGAGTGAACCTATAATTATTATTATTATTATTATTCACTTATCAATAATAAATATATTGTAATAAACTCGGTTAATTCAATGTAATAAAATGAAAACGTCAGAGACTGAAACACAGACATGAAGCTGCAGCTGGATGAAGTCATGAAGTCATGTTGTCAGTCATTTGTAATTAATTTAGATTAAAGTAACGATTAAATGTGTGTTTCACTGTAGTGATGTGAAGACTGCTGGTGAAGAGGAAGTCACTGCTCTGAAACTACCAAAATAAAGTTCACTCTGCGAAACTCTAAATCTACGTTCAGATTCAGTGTAAAAATACTGCATTCAAAATATCAAGTAAAAGTACACAAGTATCACAGTAAAAGTACTTCCTGTGTAGTAAACTGTCTCCTGTGACTGATCTGTGATCAGATCATTGATCCCGAGTCATGTGACTGTTGTAGCAGCTTTAACTACGTCACATAGTCTCAGACAGTTGAGTCCACTGGTTTCCAACCTGGGGGTCGGGGCCCTCTAAAGGGTCACCAGATTAATCTGGGGGGTCATCACACTGATGAAAAACACTGATCTGGATTCAGTTTCTGGAATTTAATCTTTGATTTTTGAAATGATTTGATCCTTTTTCCTCTTTGTGCTTCAAATATTTATGAAAATGAAACATGAGAGAAATTTAGAAACCAGCTGAGAGACGTGATACGTGACTGAGACGACGCAGACTGTCGGATTGGTTCACACGGTAACGGTGTCAGTGAATGAGTTTCCATCATCTCCCCCCATGTTCACGACACGGTCACATGACGACCTCCGTCTCCGTCCGTCTGAACGTTCAGGTGGAAACACACTGAACTGACTCTGGATCAGTTTTAATGAGCTGATTAACAACCGTCTAGACCTGTCAAGCCTCATCTCTCGCACATTCACCACAACGATCTACACACACTCAGCACACTATACGAGTCTCTACTCATCCACACACACTATCGCACATCGCACATCACCTAACAACACAACAATATCCAACAAACACATCCACACAACTGACGACACACACACCACACACACCACACATACAGGTCCACAAAAGTCACGTTGCACACACACACAGTCACACACACACAACACACACACACACACACACACACACACACACACACATATTTACTGAAGCGTGTAATTGGATCCAGGATGTCACTCAGCAGGTGAGCCCCCCCCCACCCCCCCTCACATACACTCATGTTTGCAAACACACTTCATGTGCATGTCTAAGTGTGTGTGTGTGTGTGTGTGTGTGTGTGTGTCTCTCTCTCTCTCTGCTGCTGCGTTCAAAAACACTCTGATATCTGAGGTTTGAGAGTCAGAAACCTCTTCATAACCAGAAACATTATCAGAGTCTGTTTGGTGTCCTCGAACGCACCCACAAAAAACTGTTTTTCTTCACACAATAATCACAAACTCCGACTGTGATGGAGCGACTGATGTTGAAAGCAACGTGTGTCTGAAGGAATGAGATCGATGTAAAAACTGAGGGATCAGAAAACGAACGACAAGAATAAACAGGATTCATTTGGTTCTTTATGAATGTCGCCTCCGTGACCAGCAGCTGGATCTGCTGTGATCACTTCCTGTTTCCAGTGTGTCACAATGTTCAGACAACTGTCGCTGTTTCAGTGTGATACTGAAGGAAACTTAAAGACAGGAGCATTCTCTAGGAAGTTCTGCTGGACTTTTATTGTGAAGGGACATCAGAGAAAACAGCAGACTGGTCCTTTACATGGAGACGGGGGCGGCTGCAGAGAACAGACTGATCACTGACAAGATGTCGTGGGTGTCTTCACCTCCGAGAGCTTTACAAACAACACACACACACACACACACACACACACACACACACACACACACACACACACACCACGTCAGTAAAGTGGCTGCACTGTAGTGATTATAGTAATGATAAACTTTATTTATAATAAATAATAATATTGTATGAAAGGGATCATACAAATAAAGTTAATTTTTTGACTCCTTAAAAACATTAGAAGCATTGATGTAAAATAATAAATAAAATAAAAAATCATTAAAACAACACAAAGTATGGATGAGGAGTGATGTCACAGGAGGAGCAGTGATGTCACAGGAGGAGCAGTGATGTCACACAAAAGTAATAAATAAAGCATTTCCCTAATTTCATATTTAAATAATCTTTAAAAACGGGAATTGTAAAAAAAATTAATCATCAATAAATATTTAAGTTTTAAAAATGGATTTACAAAAACAACATAAAACTCTCATTAAATAAATTATTTATCAAATCATGAATAAATAATACAATTTGAAAAACTATTTGAGAAGACATTTAAAAAATGGGAATATATTAATTCCCTCTTCAATCTCCATTTCCTCTTTCCAGCTGCTTTTCCTGTTAGCGAATAGATTAGCTTAGCCATTTAGCTCCTCCTGTTGGCCTCTCTCTGTGTAGCCTTCAGTGCTGGTAAAACCCACTGGTTATCTCTCCAACCAATCAGAGAGCTTGTTGCATCCAGTGGGATAGTTTCGCCTGGTTTTACCACTGAAGCTCAGAACGTCACAGAAAGTCCGTTCATTTAAATTATTATTTTTGCATTCATATCTTTAATATATCAAATTAAGGAAATGTTTTATTATTATTCCTGTGACATCACTGCTCGTCTGTGACATCACTGCTCCTCCTGTGACATCACTGCTCCTCAATCAGATCAACAATGAAATTTAATAAACAAGGTGAAAATTAAACGTTTTTCTCTTTGTGTTTCAGGAGAGTTCAGCCTGCGATGCCTGACGTCTGACCTCTGACCTCTGACGTCTGACCTCTGACCTCTGACCCCTCTGAGAGACACCTCTGAGGAGGAGAGATGGAGGGAGGAGGAGAGGAGGAGAGCCGAGCAGAGGAGACTGAAACCTCCTCCAAACTGGGGAGAGCCTCACCGAGAGAAGCAGGTGGGGGTGGGGGGGGTGGCTGCAGACAAAATGGCCTCATCAACACCCATAGGCTGGGGGCGGAGCCTCGGGAGGCGCTGATGTACTCGGCTCCACAGTATCAAGGTCACGTGGTGGTGAATGCCCCCCCTCAGCAGGAGCACAGCGGGGGTCCTCCTCAGCTCCTGAACCCCAGCGCTCTCCTCCCCCACCAGGCGGCGTCGGACCCCCGCCTCAGGCCGGCCCCCGGCCTCCTCCTGTGCCCAGAGAGCGTCCTGCGGGCGTGGGGAGAGGCTGGGGGAGGTGACTGCTGCGAGACCACCTTCATCGAGGGGCTCGGTCCTGAGGCCGCTGCCGCCGCCGCTGCCGCCGCCACCGCTGCCTCCAGGAAGGAGACGCTGCTGTTTGCTGACGGGAAGTTTCTGGACTTTTCTGGAGAGGACGCAAAGATTCACACGCTGTCGTACGACATCGACGACGACGACGAGTTCCAGGAGCTCGAGGTGAAAATCTTCGTTTGTTCTTTTTATGTTGATTTGTTTTTAATGTTTCAGTTAGTGAAGTGTCGTCAGCGTAGGTGGAACATGGAGGCGGAGTCAGTTTCATCCAGGTGAAAATCTGACGGAGCACTTACCTGTTCTCGGGTGGTCTCTGTGTTTGCTCTGCTGAGTCCCACCTCCCTGCTCCTGAGCAGGTGCCAGGCCCCACCCCCTCCCAGTGACACACAGGAAGTGAAAAGCTCCTCTGACAAACTACAGTCAGCCATGTTTCCAGGAGAACCAGTCCACCTTAAATCTGATTATTTTCATTACAGCGTCCTGCAGCCGGTGGCAGCGAGGAGTTCAATCCACCAACAGCACTCAGCTAACAGCCAATCAAACAGCAGCGTGGAGATCAGGAAGTGACAGAGAAGAAAAGTAGATAGATAGATAGACCTCTCCATCCCTCATCCCTCCTCCTCTCCTCCTCTCCATCCCTCCTCCTCCTCCTCCTCTCCTCCTCTCATCCCTCCTCTCTCTCTCTCCATCCCTCCTCCTCTCCTCCTCCCTCTCCTCCTCTCTCCCTCACTCCTCTCATCCTCCTCTCCTCCTCTCATCCCTCCTCCTCCTCCTCCTCTCCTCTCTCTCCTCCTCTCCTCTCCATCCCTCCTCTCTCCTCTTCCTCCTCTCCTCCTCTCATCCTCCTCCTCCTCCTCTCCATCCCTCTCTCTCCTCCTCTCCTCTTCTCCATCCTCTATCCTCTCCTCCTCTCCTCCTCTCCATCTCCTCCTCCTCCTCCTCCTCTTCCTCCTCTTCACCTCCTCTCTCTCATCCCTCCTCCTCCTCTCCATCCCTCTCCTCTCCTCCCTCCTCCTCCTCCTCTCCTATCCCTCCTCCTCTCCTCCTCTCCCTCCTCTCCCCATCCCTCCTCTCCTCCTCCTCCTCCTCCTCCTCCCGTCCACCCTCCACTCGAGTCTTTCAGCTGAATCAGATTAGAGCAGCATCTCTCTGGACACGCGACACATTTGGCCGCCTAACAGCCAATCGCTTTAGAGACGATTAGCTGGAAATGCTGTGATTTTTGTCTCAGTAAAGTCCAGTTTTAATCTACTCTGCTCGCTAATACCGGGGGGGGGGGGGCCTGTAGCTGGTTCCTGAGCTGGAACAAAGATGAAAGTTTTAGTTTCACTTCAGATGCTTCAGCTCCTCTGATCTACGGCGAGCTGGAGAGGACGAGGCTGTTCCCGCTCTAAATGAGACTATTTTTAACTTTGACAACCCAGTGAATCAAAACCAAAATGAAAACATGTCATGGCTCTTCTGTGGTACACCATGCGTTAAAGAGGACATATTATCATTATTACTATTATTGTTATTATAATTATTATAAATTATTATTTCAGTGTTCATCTTTTTATTCCTGGTGTCGACTAAAATAGATTTACATGCTTCAATGTTCAAACACATGAGTTTTCTTCCTCTGTTGTCTATTCATTGTCTGTCTGAAACACTACTTTGTCGAAGCTCTACAGGGGCCCCACGTCCGCCTCTGAGCCCCAGCGTGCTCTGATCTGGTCAGTTTTTCAGGCATTACATAGCTTCCGCCCACAGCTGGTAAAATAAGTGGTTCAGTCTGAAAGTCAAAAATGGCTGTTCATAGTTTGATCGCTGACCAGAAAGAAGAAGAGAAGATAGACCTGATCCACCTTCACCAGCTGGAGGGAGCAGAAAAAAAGGTACCCACTGTCAGGCAGCGGCAAAAGGAGGCGAAATGTCGACATTTGGAGAGGAGTGCCCGCAAATAAAGTCAGCATCATTTGCCGGATTTTTATTGTGTGGACTCTTCTGGACTAAGGTGAAATTTAAATTATGGAGCATCGCAAGGCAACTGGGACTTCAGGACCTCTTCAAAAGGTCCGAGCGTAAACGAGTCTTGATAGCATTTAGTTGGATAATAGAATGTAGCATCTCGTCTTTGCTGGATTGACTCCTAGTTACTAATGAAGATCGTCCTCTTGCGAGCGTACACAAGATCCAATATATAATCATCAGACTCACAGGCTGTGTCCATGAGTCTGCTGTTGGACACAAGAGGCTGGGGGAAAATCTAATTACATTTCACGTTAGCTCACGCGATTTCATCATATAATTCGGATATGAGTGAAGGAGAGATTCAAGGCTCGCGACGCGACAACACCTTGCAGGAACAACTAAGTGGGACATCGGAACGCAGACTACTCTGGGTTTCAACCCGAGCTAAACGTAACTCATGTCATATATATCAAATCTCTATACTTGGTATTTAAAGATTTAAGGGTGAGCGTTTAACATCGGTTAACACCTCTGTGGGTGTGGCTGTGTGCTGTGTGGTGTGTGTGATGTGTAGTGTGTGTGTGTGACTGTGTGTGTGTGGCATCAGAGTGATTACTTCCAGTGACCAGAGAAGCGAGGGACACCTTTCTGTTGATGCTCCAGAGATCACCATGGGCTCAGTGGTCTTTTCATCTCTGTATGCTTCTGGCTGGCGTGGCCATCGGCAAGGCTTTCTACCTGTCGCACGAGCGTGCCGCAACACACACAACACAGACACACACAGACACCGCCACACACACACACACACACACACAACACACACACACCACACACACACACCACACACACACGACAACACACACACTTTGCAGTAGCAGGTATTGGCAGTAAACGAGTAGCAGTGAATATTGGTTTGGATAGCATTACCTACTGCATTTTGGTAACTTGTAGTACACCTTGTGCGGGTATGGTGTGTGCCTTGATGTGTGGTGTGTGCTGTGTATGTTGTGTGTGTGTTGTGATGTGGCTGATGTGTGTGTGTGTGTTTGTGTGTGTGTGTGTGTGGTGTGTCCTGCAGCTTCTTCGTTCCTTCTCTTTTTCTCCTGCTCCGTACCACAACACTGACAACAACTGTTCACTTATTATATGACTGCAGTTGCATGCTTGTCAGCTGGAGGAAGGACGAGCGCGTGCTTCTGTGCTGAGAATGCTCTACTGATGTTTCCAGCAGATAGATTCAGTGATCACAACCTGTGACCAGGTAGTAGAACATATTGATCGATCAGTTAATGGACTATATCAGTTTTATCACTGAGTCTGGCTTCTTCTCGAGTTCACGTTGTGTTTTACTTTTTTTTGGTCTTTTATTTAAGCACGAGGTAGAGCTTCAAAAAAAAAGATCGTGGTAAGTAATGTAATTAATGTAATATTCATTACACTAAATGAATTAAATGATACATATATAGGCTCTTAGTGTGTGTGTGTGTATTTGATGTGTGCTGTAAATGTGTGCTCTCGCTGTGATGTGTAGTCGTGTCTGCTCATGTTGTGTCTCGTGCGTAGCTATTGCTCATGTCGCAGTCATGTCCGTGTCGTGAATGCGGTTTTTCCGTGGCTAACCGCACACCTACAGTTCCAAAAGAAACAAGGGCAACGGTTGCACTGGAACCTTCCCCCACCCACTGAAATCCAATCGCTGAACAACAAGAAAAGCTTGCAGCAGGAGGCAGGAGGGAGGGGGGGGGGAGGGAGGGGGGTCGGAGGGGGGAGAGGAGGGTTTATATAAACCAGAGAGAGGTGAGTCAATGTTTCAAAGAGTAGTTCAGGAAAACCTCAGAGGGATCTGGAAGTGTGTGTCAGTCAGAACACAGATATATATATGATTCTACTATACAAACATGAAACAACAAACGACTGAATCTGATCAAAGTTCGTCTTGGCATGAAGATTTCATCAGGGAGGATTCCAACGGGAAAATAATAATAAAAATTGCCTCTTTATTTCCTGTAAAACCAGGACGTGACACTGACGTTCAGTTTCCTGTAGAGCATTTCATATAGACGTGAACGACGCTGCAGACCAGACGGAGGTTTTCCATCAGAGCTCTGGAGCCTGCGACAGAGTCCAGACCTGCAGACACTCCAGACCAGGTCCCTAATGTCCATCGGTTTTCCAGTCAGGACGCTTGCCCAGTAAAAAGCAAGATGCAGAGTTAGTGAGCGGCTGATCAGACAGCGAGATCTTCTGTCTGTGTTCTCCAGGGGAACGAGACTTGTCCATCAGCTCAAAAAACTGATCCCAGAACCTGCTGATCTGGATCTGACTCACATCCTGGACGAGACTGGACAGACCTCAAGTCTCTGCACAGACACTGAGGGTCAGTGGTGACGCTGCTTGTCACTAAACTTCCCGAGACTATAACTGTCCCTGAGACTAAACTATTCCTTTTCCTTCAGTAAACTGCTTTGGTGAACAGACTGAAACAATCTTTTTTGTTAAAGCTGGTGTGGATAATTGAGATTTGGAGTGCCTTTCAAGAGTTGCAACACACACACCACACAACACCACCACACACACACACACCAGCACACACACTCTGAAAGCTCTTTACGTAACTCTCTCTCTCTAGATCTACAAGGACGTCGCTTCTTTATTCAGCAGAAACTGATGGAGCCTCATTTTGTTTCCTCCGTCTGCGACCAATCCGGAGGGCCTGCCCCCTCCCATCGCTATGGTTTGGCTGACTGTCAACGCGTGGGCGTCTGATTGGTCAAGAGTGTAATTAAATATTAGTGGAACATAAGCAGTTATTACAAACAGTGGTTTCCTTAGCCAACAAGCTCCCGTTAATGCGTATTTTACAGAGTTAATTGAGCTTCGTTAAGCAGACTCACCTCACCTGACAGAGACTGCATGCGACTCAATTCCTGAGTTCATTCATTTACTGTACCGGCACACACAGGAACGTCAGTTTACGGGCCAATCACAGAGCTAGCAAAGTCTGTCAGAATAAATGTCATCTTCCCTCGTACAAGAATGAATTAGAGTCATAGTTTTAAAGACTCTGTCCCTGTTAAGAAGTCGATCTCATGTCTCTGATCAGGATCAGCGCTGACAAACAGGAAGTCCCTCTCTCAGTAGACATTGTTGTGCATCAGAGTCCCTGCAGGACCCGAGTTCTGAACTTGAACAGGGATGTTTTGCTTTCCTGATCAGATCAATTTATTAAAAGCTGATTATTAAGAGCAGCAGACTCTGATGGTTTTCCCTTAATCTTGTTTCTTCTTCTCTTGCTCGCCCGTCTTGCCCTCACTGAGCACCAACACACCACGCACACGCACACACGCACATTGCCACGCACAACACGCACACGCCACGCGCCGCGCGCGCACGCACAGTGTTTCAGGAGTCGGTCTCTCTGAGTAATCCAGATCACCGATGTTTGAGGATTTGAACAATGATTCTGCATTGGCTTCCTTTTAAGTGGAGGCACTAGTCACTTGTAAACGAATTTGTCAGTGCCACTGAGATTGTCGCACTAGACACCCCCCCAACCCCCCTTCCATGTTTCTGTTCTGAATCTCAGTGAAATTCGTCCAATAACACACAGCAAGAAGCTCAACCTGGAATAAAGTTTCCCCCCCCCCCCCCCCCTGTGAACAAAGAGTCAACAAAACAATCTAAAGGCACACAACCGTTTAGCTTCACGCGTATATCGCATGAATATGCTCCACAGCATGCTAACTGTAGCATTGACGGAGCAGGTAAAAACATCTGACGGAGCAGGAGAGACACTGTCACCCTGAGCACTGCGCGTCACTTACTTTGACATCACACCCTGTGGGCGGAGCCTGTGTTTATACACGTTGGGGAAGACCAACGGTTTTAACAGGAAAGGACTCACATTCACTAACATGCACACACTTGCCAGGACGGCTACCAAACAAGAGAACTCGGTTACGTCACTCACAAGGGGGGCTGGTCTTTCGTTCTCTTTGCTTCATGGCAACGGACGCCATTTACCTCCACTATGTCTTTTATATAGAGAAATTAGATGTTTTGCTGCTAATTATTGTTTACCAAAATCTCGTTTTACAGGAACTTTGAACCTATCTTATATCTTTATATAAAATATGAAAAACTGTAGTTTAACTGTCCAATAGTAGTGATTTAAATTAGAGATTAACACTGATGTGTTTTTGCCCCCCCTCCTCTCAGACCAATAAGGCCAGTGTCTAAAAGGAGACTCACCTGGCGCTCAGCTCGAGGCGGGCTCTTCTTCCTGGGCTGTGGCTGGTCAATCACCATCGGGACAGGTATCTACGTGGGCGTGGCTGTGGGGATCGCTACTCTTCAAAGAACCGCACCCTTGATTAGCCCTTAATCTCCACCATGGAGTCCGGCCTCGTCGTTAAGC